CTTAAATCTAGGTTTGATCATCAAAAGACCATTTTTCTTCCACATGCACATCATAATTGGACACATTTATGTATCTTAGATTTTCCAAATTTAAATGCTTTCAATAGTAAAATGTATAGTATTGTCTTACAATTATGATTATGTGGATAAAGCATTTTTGAAGAAGAAATGATTGAAAAAAATCTCTCTACATTTCCTCCTGTATGTGCTGTGCTTACACAACAATATATGAATATGAAATTTCAGAGTCATTCTGATTTCATGTCCTATCTACTTCTTGCGGAGAAGCAAAATGAGCTACTCTTGGGCAATGTAGAAGCTCATCCTATTGGAACTACAGTTCTAGAATCTCATGCACTTAATATTTCAAAGTCTAAAAAGAAATTATATAAACATGGGAAACATGCTCATAAGTATCAGAGTAGTCATAGTCATGACCATTTCTACCTATGTGGAAAGAATAAACGTTCTACTATTAATTATAGTAGGAAACAAAAATCAGAGATGCATTCTTGCCATAAGTGTGGAATGATTAGACATTTAGCACATGCGTGCCATACTTCAAAATATTTTATTAAAATATTCCAAAAAAATAAGAAATTATGAACTAAGGCTCGTGAAGTTCATACTATGGATGCATCGATGGATTCAATTGGTGTTGATGACTTAGAGGCTTATATGAATGATAAAACCTCTAATGATGAATCAAATGATGCACTCATTGATTTTGCAATAACACATACTATCTTACGAGATAAAAAAAAATTTATTGAAAAATCTTTAACTTAGCAAACTAAAAATATGATGACCATGGCTGGAGCAAATGCGTTTTGTTTCCAAGAGTTCACAACGATGGTAAAATTTCCTGCGGGTTCCATCATAAAATGTAAACATGCGATGTTTGCATCCTTAGCACCTCGGAGTCTGATCAGCTATCAAGATGTGCATATTAATGGTTATCACCTCTCGACCGCCACTTTAAATAGAAAAGAAGTTTTGGTTCTTACGAAGAACCATAAAGTTGTTAAAAAAGCTTTTGCTACAGAAAATGGTTTATACCAAATTGTGATTTGGCCTCCCATTATATTTAATTTTGCATCATCTATCACAGAGAGTCATGTTTCTCTCTGGTATGGACGATTGAGACATCCAAGATCCACATTATTTAGAAAGATCATTCCATGTATAATTAAAGATAATTTAAAGCTTGCGGATGTAGAATCTATGGAATTATGTTATACATACGTACAAGGTAAAATAATTACTCGGCCTTCAATTTGGAAACTTCCACAAGAATTACCACCAATGCTTGAAAGATTACATGGTCATATTTGTGGTCCTATTAATCCAATAGCAAGACCATTTCATTATTTTTAGGTCTTTGTTGATGCATCAGGTAAACAATCACATGTTTCATTATTATCAACTCGAAACATGGTGTTTGCCAATCTTATATCTATGTTTATTCATTTTTAGGCACATTTTCCTATAAAATTGACTAATCCTGGTATTATTTCTCAAGAAATTGCCACTCATCCTATAGGACTACCAATTCATGATAATATATCCATGCATATTGTAATTTCAATTCCTATGAAAAACAATCTTAGAATTGGAAGGAATAAGAATAAATTGAGTAAAGAATTATCTATTTTGTATTGTGCTACAGATGATATTTGGAATAGACCATCTATTATGATAGATGAATAATTTGCATATATGATTATAGAAGCCCTTTCTTCTGAGGAAGACGATCTTGAATCTCAAACCATCTAGGAGGCGATCCGTCGCTCTGATTGATCAAAATAAAAAACTGCTATTGACGAGGAGTATGCTTCTTTGCGTAAGACAAAAGTCTTTGGCTAAATTGTAGACACTCTTACATCTCACCCTGTGGAATATAAAATAGTATTAATACGCAGGCGAGATGCTCAAGGTCAAATAATCCGCTGTAAAGCTTGTCTTGTTGCTCAAGGATTTACTCAACGATTTGGCATTGATTATGAATCTACATATTCTCTAGTCATGGATTCAATTACGTTTTGATATATTATTAGAATGATAGTTCATGCTACCCTGGAGATGCATTTGATGGATGTAGTAACTACATATCTATATGGTTCTCTTGATGCAAATATTTATATAAAAGTTCCACGTGGCTTAGAAACAGGAACTCCAAATTAACCCGCTCTAGGACAATATCGTGGTATTAAGTTATATAAGGCCTTGTATGGTTTAAAACAATCCGGACACATCTGGTATCCACGTCTTTGAGATTATTTAATTACAAATAATTTTATAAGTGATCCACTAATCCCTTGTTTGTTTATCAAACAAGATAAAACTGGTTTTGTGATCATTGCTGTATATGTTGATGATCTTAACCTAGTGGGCTTTACATTTGCATGTATTATAGCTACTAACCTACTTATACATGAATTTGAGATGAAAATGCTAGAAAAAATAACTTTCTGCATTGGTCTTCAGATTATGCATTTAACAGATGGTAGCATTTTTCTCTACAAACTAATATATATTAGACAAATCTTGCGAAGATTTAATATGATTGATGCTTATCCATTATCCACACCAATGATTGGACATGGTCGTGATAGTCATGATCCATACCATCCATGTGAGGAGGAGGATGAAATATTGTGAGATCAATATCCATACCTCATAGCGGTTGGAGCACTTTTGTATTTAGCTACATCTGCAAGACCAGATATTGCATTTGTACTTAGTGTTCTTGCAAGACATAGTGTACGTCCAATACTATGACATTGGAATGGCATCAAATATTTATTACGTTAATTAAAAGGTACTCAAGACTTGGGATCATACTACACACAATCAACAGATCCAAAATTAGTTGGATACTGAGATGCAAGATATAAATCTGATACTGCAACAGCTAAATCTCAAACAAGATATGTATTTTTAAGATATGGAGCAGCAATATCATGGAAATCAGTGAAACAAACAATAGCTGCAACTTCATCCAACCATGCAAAAATTATTGCCTTACATGAAGCATCTTGAGAATGTATTTGGTTGTGATCAATTGACAAATTCATTCAAACAACCTGTGGATTTTCCAACTATCTTGCATGAAGATAATAGTGCTTATATTGCACAGATGCAAGTTGGTTTCATTAAAGGTGATAGGACAAAGCATATTGTTCCAAAGTATTTTAGTTATATCCATGACTTGATTATTGATCAAGCACTTATAATTAAAAAAATTGAATCTACAATTAACCTTGCTGATCTCTTCACCAAAGCTCTCCCATTAAGCAACCGTCGTCGACTTACTTATGGCATTGGTATGCGGCGAGTTGCTTTTCTTGAATAAGAAAGTTAATGAGCTCTTTAAATAATTAAAGAAAATGATGTTGTACTCTTTTTCCTTCATCTATGGTTTTGTCTTTAAATAAAATAAGGTTTTCCTAGATAAGGTTCTAATGAGGCAACAATTGTTGATCTTGCAAGATCACAGAAAAGTATAGATCATAATTCTATATAAATTTTATATTATGTAAATATTATGATGAATGAGGAGTGTTGAGATCATTAATTGTAGTCGGCGCTCTCCATAATATTTATTGTAGACTATAGTAAATACCATAGCTACAATATTTAGAGACTAGTGGAGAAGTACTGTTTATCCTCTCCCCTTTTCTCTTCTTATATACAAGATACAACCAGATCAATAGATTTTTATGTGTGAAGCTCTCTCTCCTTATAAACCCTCTTGTGTATATGACTTACTACTACTCTTGTGTGTGTGTATGACTTACTATTACTCTTGTGTCTTTCTAAACATTCTCAACAATTTGAAGGATCAATTTTAGGTGTTTCTTTAGCAATCTTTTAAAAATTATCTACTTGGTTTTTTTTTAATATATATATATATTTTTTCTAAAATATTTCTATTTAAAATTTCTTTAAGAATAATAATGATTATTTCTTTTTAAAAGACGTAATTTGTTTGCAATTTGATATAGCAATTTGACTAGATTTCTTATTGCTGATATTTTCTAATTTATCTTTTAAGTAATAATGTCTTCTATCCACAATTCTATCTTATTAAATAAAACTCTTTATTTCTATGCCAAAGACAGCAAGCCACATATTAAATTGTTCTTATAAATGTTTATTTTCCATAAAACAGGTAATAATCACATGTTTTTAGAAACGATTATTTTTAAAACAAATATCCATGTTGTCTACTTTTACTTCCTTTAAGACAATACAACTAAAAAAAACATGGGTATCATACAAAGCAATGTAATTATTCTTGTAATTATTTGTTTTGCTATTTAACCATATGATTTTAATTTTTTTTGTGGTATTTAAAACGCTTGATAATGTGCCAATAATGTGTAAAAAGAAATCTGAGAATTATTAGAATTGTCATTATCATGATCATAGGGTGTTTGTTTGACACCCTCCTTGGACACCCCTTGTGCCAAGCATCCCTGCATGCACAGTATAAAATTTTCATTTACACTAATAGACGTTTGGCTATTTTCACTATCAAATATTCATGTGCAGTGGCGTGAAGCATTAATTCCTATTGGGATTGTTTAATTGCAAATCCACCCTGAAATGTTTTACCTGTGTGAGATTTGATGAGTATGATTAAAAATAGCGTTTGCCTGTGTTACTATTGAACTAAAGTTGAACATCTCCACGGAAATATTGAACGAAATGTGGAAAGTTTCACGAAGAGGAGTACAAAGTAATTATGTGCTTTTTTGAGGGTTAATGCGTTAACAATCAGGTATTTCAGACAAATGTATTGAGCGTATGATAACTTACCGACAACTGCATGTGGGGACGGCTTCCAACAAATGGTGTCTAGTTAATTTGGAACTATTGAGCTTGCAGTACTTAAGAACTCGGTTTATTACCTCTTCCAGTCTGGTATGCACCCAGTCGAGAGTATAGTTGTGAAACCAATCAAAACTTGCATTCTCAAGATACACAACAAGAAGTACTCCTTGAATCAAATTTTCTGTCGATGTTGCAGTAATTAAGAACACATCAAAACTGGATCAAAGCAGTATGCCGATCTTTCCTAATTAGAATCCATAGGAAAGATAAAACATAAATGCCCAGTAGACCGCCCAATGCAGCAGATAATAAAGGATCTAGAGACGACGTCCCCTGCGTCCTCCCTTCCTCCTGGTGCTGTCAGTTGGGATTGGGGTTACATCCTCTGCAAAAGGAGTAAGTCCTCGTCAGTTTTAAATTCCTCTGAGCCGGAGTTTAAGTGACCTGTTCCATATAACTGTAAAAATATATCTACAATAAGCGTTAGAGTGAATCGGAGAGCTTACCAATGCGTCCAATCCTCATGTTAGAACGGGCCAGGGCTCGAAGTGCAGACTGGGCTCCAGGTCCGGGAGTCTTTGTCTTGTTTCCTCCGGTAGCACGGAGTTTAATATGCAAGGCGGTGATTCCCAACTCCTTGCACCGCTGAGCGACATCCTGAGCAGCAAGCATAGCCGCGTAAGGTGACGCTTCATCTCTATCTGCTTTAACCTTCATACCACCTGCGAAATTGCCATCCAAAATATGTGCTGTGAGCTTACTCGACGACTGAATTCGTCGTAATCACTACGAAGTCTGCATCAAATCTCAAAATAGGTCTCGACTCAATTCTAGTTATAATTAATCTGAGAAACGCCACAAAACCCACCATAATGACCATTCGTAGATTCTAAAATAAGCTAAATTCGAATATCAGGCACGTACCAGTGACACGAGCAATAGTCTCCTTCCCTGAAAGATCAGTCACATGCTGCACATGCCATCCCAAAAATATTTTAACACTCCCGTCCTACGCAGTTTTAGTGCGTCCACGCTACCATACATGTGCAGTCCAACTGACAATCTTATGCGGTGGCTAATCCAAACCCTAAAAAATAGAAATTGATATCACCAATGGACTTGAGAACATCTTTTCCCACAAACCACGACACAAATTTAGGGTTACACTTATAATCACAATATAGATCCAAAACAGATGAATAGGGATCGGAAAGCGCACCACGAAGGTGTCATTGAAAGAGGCGAAGATGTGGGCCACGCCGAAGACGTGCTCCCCATCCCTCACGGATGGACCAAGGGTGACATTCTCTTCCTTCTCGGCTCTGACTTTCTTCTTTCCAGACTGCAAGAAGCAAGAAACATTAGGGTATCATGCCGGGCTACTCTGCAACCTAATTGAGTCCGAAGAGAGATAAATAAAAACAAGTGCCATCTTCCACAAACAGAAAATCAAGCTGAATACAGAGAAGAAAAACGTACCATTGTGGAGGGAGAGGTGAAGCTAGACTACGAAGGGTGGAGGAGCCAAAGGGCGAGCAGGCACGCAGCGACAGAGGACGCTGGAAAAGGGGCGTAAGCAGGACGCGAGATGGACTGTTGTAAGTGCGAGACAGATCCCAGGAACCCTAATCTAAAGGTTGCTCGCTCACCGTTGGATGATACTCATCCGACGGCCGCAGACCCCAACGTCAGTCCTCATGTTGGCTGGGTTGGGAGCGGGCAGTGTTGAGGGGCTGAGGGGGTGACCCGATCCGTGCTGGGCCATGAAGCCTGGTCTCTCGCATCTCTCGCAGAAGGAGCTCAATTTTTGTGTGATTTTCTCTTGCCAGTACCTTAGAAATCCTGTTTGAGGGGTTATAACAATGTGATAGGTGATTGATTTCTTCTTCTTCATCTGTTTCGAAGATTAAAAAAAATCATGAAAATGAACCTACATGACACGAGTGTTGAATGCAGATGTTCGAGTGACATGGCTATTCATGTGGCGATTCATTATTTTATTTTATAAAAAATAATCGTATGAGTTGGCATTTTTAGAAATATTTGGAAAATCTACACTGAAATACATAAAAGAATATATCTTAAGCTTATTTAAAAATAAATGAATAAATAAAATAGTTTGATTGGCCAAACTTTGATTTATTTTTAATTAACCTCAGTAAAGAATAAAAAGCTGTGTGTGTACACACACACACATATGTATATGTATATATATATATATATATATATATATGAAAGTAATTAAAAAAATATAAATTATATCTTAAATATCCAATTTTCTCTCTGTATATGTACCTTAATGTTTTGGACGGCATGTAACCCTCATCCCTTTGTTTATAAAATGCTAGATTAGATTAAATTATCATTATGATTATTATTTCACATCATTAATATTAGTGCCTTTAAATTTAAATCTGTATGTTGTGAGACTTGCAAAATGTGTATCATAAACTTATGTAGATAAAAAAACTGAAATATCTATATCTCTATCTATCAATCTATCTCTCTCTCTCTCTCTCTATATATATATATATATATATCTGAGTGTGTGTGTATGTTAATTAAATCTAAATAATTGAATCATTGCCTACTTGTGATTCCAAAAGAAAGAAGTTTTCATAAAAATAAGACATGCCTTCATGTTACTTTGTCCAACTAGTTGTGTCTATCAATTAGCTACTTATAGTTGATATAATTGCTTTGAGAGAGAAGTCTACTTTGATTGCTTGATGATAGTTAATATGATAAGAAATGAAAACCATCTGATCACTGATGTATACTAAATTAATAAGACATAATGTTCAGTACACAGGTATTGAACCTCGTGTGTAGTGATGATAAGTCAAGAGAATAATTATTGTGATTAGATATCATTTAATCCCGAATATATCTCAATTTTTAAATACTATTGATTTAGATAAAATCACTCTAGAAAACTAATAAGTTTTTTTTTTTTTTTTTTTTTTTTTTTTTTGATGTAGCATATTGGGTTTTATTAAGCACACATAAATAAATAAAGAACAATAAGTTAAAACATATTAACAACACAAAAAAGAATAAAGAAATAGTTCAATTTTAATAAATATTATAACAACAAGACAAAAATGTCAAATTTATTGTCTTTTAAGTAATTTCTATTTTTAATAACTTTTAATAATTTTTGATAGAAAACTCTAAACATATCAAAATATCATAAAAGTATAAAGAATATTCCAATTTAAATTCCAAGTCCATTATCTGTAATATTTCCATACCGTTTATTTTAATTTTGAATCACAAATTATTTTAAATAGTTCAATGATAGTTTAAAAAATCTTATTTCATGAGTCCTTGAATTTTTTTAGTTAAAAAAATGTATTTTTTAAAAAAGAAACTAACAAAATTTTAAGCAATTAATGAATACATTAAATAGTCAAAATGTTAAAAAAAAAGTATTAAACTAGTGGTATATAATATGTTTAGTTATTTCTTTAATGATTTATGTTACAGCAAAGATATTACTAAAAAAATAATTTAATATATTTCATTATTAATCTTTTTATGAAAATACTAAAGTTTGTTACCAAAATGTGATATTATCTGATCTAAATATCTTTTAAAAATGACTTCACAATCTAATAAAAAAATTGTTAAAAGTTTATACATATAATAAAAATTTCAAAAAATAATGCATACTTTTTATTGAAATGATCTTATTATGCAAGAAAAAATAGAATAGAGTAATAAAAGTTTATATATATTCTAAAGCAAATTGTACAATTTAAATTAGAAGATTTGCAATAAAATTTGAAATTAACATCAGCCATGGAATTTTGAGAATAGAAAGTATTTGTATCACAAAACATGGTTGATGCTTTAGAGAGTTTGTTTTGTAAGCTCTCTAAAGTCTTGTTTAATGCTAAAGAGCAAAAGAAGACCTATATTATAGAAAAAATGAATCAAATGTATAGTAAAAATATTATTTTAGAAATCATATGATACTGATAAGAAAAAGTAGAAAAATAGTATCTATACCTATTTTATTAGAAAGACTTCTATTCACTTTGTAATACTATAAACAAGGCAAAATAAGATAGATTAGCAAAATTTATACTAAAAGCATCTTTAAAAAGAAATTAGTAGTGGTTTCCAATCCAAATAATCTAAAAAAGCATTAGATTAATATCTAGATTGGATTTGTTAAGAACAAGGATCAAAACCAAATTCTAAGACATAAAACCATGTATCTATAATATTTGCAAGATTTTTTTATTGATTAAAGTATAAATGTAGAAAATAGACTTAATATAGATATTACATGCATTGATTTTAAGAAATTATAATTTTTTATCACTTTATAAGAGTAATGCAAAGTTAGAATTAAATTTGGTTGTATTCTATTTTGAAAAATATATAATGAAATTTAGCTTTTGAAAAACTTTGTAAGTTAAGTAATAGACCTATAACTAAAATTTGACGATTAGTGCATTTACTTGTAGTATGGTTGTGGCATTTATTTGAGCTCAATTGATTAGTTAGATTCAAAGTAATTGGAATTCAAGTGGATTAAGATATCAAAAACTAGTAATTTGAAGGTCAACAACAGATTTATAGGATTTGCAATAATACAATGATTGGATTATAGTAAGACTTGATGAGATAGTAAATGACTTGACTTCCAACATTTATATGCTTATAAAAAGAATTTAAGCATGCAATCAAAAGATATTGGTATTATAAGCACAATATTATGGTTGAAAAAAAAAACCATCTAATGGCTAAGTAAATTATGTATTATTTCTTTCAATCTATATCTTGAAGTATCATCAAATTTCTTGAGTTTATTATAAATTAGAAGAATGATAGAAGTACAATATTTAAAATAAAAACTATAATTAATTAAAATAATTTATATTTGAAAATATATTTTATAATTATTTTATAATTAATTATAAACTATTATGATTTAGTTAGGATTTTTTTAGATTTTATTTAGAATATAATTATAATTTTATAGAATTCAATTATAATTTATTTAAGATTTTTTAAATTTTAAATGGTTTCTTTTGGAGCTATTTAAAGATTTATCTAAGGCTATGTAGAATTGATAGGATTATTCTAAAATTTGTTGATGATTTTTAAAGGTTTATTTGAAGTTTATTAGAATTTAAGAAGAGGTCCATTAAATTTCCCTAAGGTTTATAGACCATACTAATGAGATTTTAGAACTTAATTATGTTCTAAAATTAAAGATTATTTATGTAAGTTATATTGAATTAAATATCTAGCTTTAAGATGAATTAAAATCTTTCTACAACTAGATATTTAATGATTTATTAGATTAAAATTTATTATATAACATTATTGGTGAACTTAATATGAAGAGCTTGAGATGAAATATAAATTCTATTAATATATTTTAAAATAGTGGAATTATTTTAAATCAGATTTTAAGGTATTTAGATATAAAATATTGATATTAGAAATTATATTTGATTATTTATTTATCTATTATAATTTAAAAGGATTTATAGGTTATAAGAGTCTTATTAGAGAAAAATTCATAAAAATAAAATTTTAGTAAGTCTAAGAAGTAATTAACTTAGTTGATTCAATATCTTCTTTTAATAGTAAATATTAATATTTAGTTATTAAAACTAATATCTATATCGGCTTTCTATCTATATTTATTAATCATTCAAAATCTATAAATATTAGTCAGTAGGTAGAAGAATCATTAAAAAGAACGTCATATCTTTTTAGTTGTTCATGAAAAAAATAGGATTTTTAATTGATTCAAATTAATCATTTAATTACATAAATATTAAGGTTAAAAAGTCTTCTTAATTACTCAAGTATTTATTAGAACTTAGAAGTATTTATAAGTTATAAAAGTCTTATTAGAAAAAAAAGTTATAAAAATGAAGTCTTAGTAAGTCTTGGACATAATTGTCTTACTTAGTTAGTATTTTTACTTATTATTAAAGGTTAGTTATTGAGAATAATGTCTTTATTGGCCTCCTATCTACATTTAACACTTATAAAAATCCTTTCAATGATTAAATAGTAGTTAAAAAAAGTATAAAAAATAATTTCATGTCTTTTTAATTAATTATATAGAAAATAGAATTTTTAGTAGATTTAAATTAATTTTATTATTATTAAAAATTAATAAGGTAGAAAAATATAGCCTTAAATAGATATCATAGTTATATAAATATCATAGGATTTTTAAAATTTTATTTACTTATAATTATTTAGGAATTTTTAGAGGAGATTTCAAGACTTTGATAAAATTGAATTTTACCACCTTGGGAGCCATTATGAAAAAAAAAAAAAGATTTGAAGGCCATAGAAGGTTTTTAGGCTATTTAGGTGTTTTTAAACACTTTGGTGAAGTCAAAAATATAAAAATATGATTTCTACTAATAAAAAATAGGAAGACCAACAATTGGTCTAGTCTTTATAAGAAGAGAAGTGCATAAGTTCCATATGGGTTATAACACTTTGGATGTAGGTATGAAGATAAGACTAAGGCCTCAAAGCCTCTTTACACAATTAATATATACTATATGTGAGCCTTGATGAGGCTTGAACCCTTGATTTATAATCAAATTATTCTTTAGGTAAAATATTTTTCCTTAATTTTTTTAATTATTTA